TGGTTTAATTCACCTATGATACTGTGAGGCACTCACTGCAACACATAATAACCACTATTTACCTCAACAGTATTTTTATAATCAATCCCATAAAAATCTGAATTTTGTCTTTGTTATTCTAATGTAGGTACCTCGGATGCTCATAAAGCAATTACATTTACAGACAACTTATAATATGTACCAGTGGGCCTGGCACAGTGGAAACATTTATATGGTATCTGACAGATAAAAGAGCAAATCCTATTCCTTTTCATTCCGGGTAGTATTCTCAGCCCTACCCAGGAGCCTTATCAAATAGATGTCTTTTACTGCATGCCTTGAAGCTACTTTGTACAAAGAAGGGGTGTATGGAGGAGGAGGAAATTCCAGACCTGAAGCATGTGCCACCTTTTCAGATTAAAATTCCTTGTCAGTTGACTTCCTTGTCAGCAAAATCACAGCCAGAAGTCACTTATCAAAAGTTCTGCTCACTATTCACCTTGCAGACAAGCTCTGTTAACCCTAAAACTAATGACAACATAGGCTAAAAAAACCTTGATATCAAAGATCACCAGTGTAAAATATGAATTGGCCACTGTAATTTCCATAGGAATCCGTTTTTTTTTCCTGCCAAACTGATAACACTGAATGTGTTCAGTGCCTTTGAATGGCAAAATTTACATTTTACAGTTCAGCCACTGCTCCTGCATGTTCAGGTGCATATTAGGCAGGGCACGGTAACAAGTATTGTGAGCTCCTCTAGAGCCATTGCTTGAGAAAGAAGCATTAAGAACTCAAAGTTTGAGGCTGTTGTTCACTACCAGTCCGCTGGTGACCAGCCAACAGTCACCAATAGCCACAGTGTTGATATTATGACTTCTTGTGAAGTCCCCAAGTCAACTGACCTACTTGATCTGTTTCTCTTTTAACTCCTGCTGAGTACCAACTACACTGTCATTGCTGTAACAGTTCTCGGCCAACTGCATAGTAGAACTTCCACTGGAGACATTATTTCTGCTTGTATCAGAGAGTAAAGCTTGTTTCAGCATAAATTATAAACCTATTATCAATTTAGATGTTAAAAAACTTAATTAAGTACTGCAAATGGGAGCGAAGCAAATGTAAGTAGGGGAAAATATGTAAAATTTTTGTTTGTTAGGTTTACTTATAAGCATTTTTGAGATTAAATGTGAAATTTGCAGATTCTTGAAGAAGCCTTATTTCTATTTGCATTAATGGTAAAATGAATTCTCTTTTAGAACTAAGTTCTGAGGCACGCATTTTACATAATTTTGTGTTCTTATGAACATGGGTTTCAACTATATACATAATAATGAAAAACATAATGTCATTTCTACAGTCCCGCTTCAAGGCACAAAACTCAGAAATCACATAATAGTAACCTCCACAAAAACATGAAAAGCATCTTGCATATTTATTTAAATACATACACAATAAATATATGCAACTTGCTTAGTGCTAGAGCAAGATAGAAATCCACTGTTTCCAAAGATGCACTTTTGTCCATTGTTTCCCTTTTCTAGAGCATATCAGCTACTTGGTAAAATATAACATATTGTACTCTGCGCTGCTTCCTGGTAGTTCATATTGACTGAGGCATTTATTCAATAATTAATCATCTCTTGAATTAAATGCTTCCATATGTATTTAGCCACATCTCTGGATGCCTTACATATGCACTACACATTGCTGCAAAATGAAAACAGTGGACTGAGACACTCTAATTTTAGGAAAATGCAAACAACAACAGGGTTACATTTTCTTAACTATTTAATTTTCCAAGGAGAAAATAAAGTAACTCGACAAACAGTTTCAAGGATGGAAACGCTTTTAAGTTGCAATAGTAAAAGACTAAGTGAAAGGTTCAAACTTGTATGTCAATACAGAACTCCAAGTTTGGTTTAAGAATATGACTGAAATCACAATAAAAATACAGCATCTGTACTTCATGTAAGAAACACTTATAATCCACAAAATTAGGAGTCTGTATAAAGGAAAATAGTGATTCCAGTAATCAGAATCTGTGATGCTGGTGCCACGAGCAGGAAGAACATTAAAATGGGATTGAAATTCCCTGCCCTCTTTTATATTTTCTGCAGTTAGCACCCTATTATATACAGTTGGACTATATACAATTGACAGTTCCTAGTCCACGGACACAGACTGGGCCCACTCGCCTAGCTTAGAGGCAGCGCTGTGCAGTGCTCCTGAGACAGGGAGCACTGCAGGGCATGCACTACGCACTCCAACGTCTGCTAGAACAAGCAGGGTCAGAGAATAACCTGGAGGCAACAATATCACCAGATCCGGGGCAGCTCTCTGCTGAAACACCAGGTTAGCTATTCACCACCTTTCATCAGCACATCCCTGCCACGTGGGTATCTCAATTAGCCCTGGTGTTGCTCGCTCCACCTTTTAATACCCTAGATAACCCTGTATAGTGCAGAACATACACAGGTCAATCACAGCACTTGAGGCCTGAAAAATGATGAGTATAGAAGAGGACATGTCTTCTTTTTAGCAGTGTGACCAATCCTAAGCCCGAGCAGTGCCCTGAAGAGCACTGCTTAGAGCCCTTTCTGCTGTGTGCCATGCTTCATTCAGTGCAGCAGCTCCACCGTACAGACACTTGATGACTGCCCCTTTGGTAGCACGGACATGCATCTTCTGGGGTTACCGTTAACAACTCTCATATTCTTTCTCTGGGATATAGTCCACCATGAAACCAACACAGCCTATTGCTGAGATGCTGAGGGGGAAAAAACCCAAAACAACCCGCCCCCAAAAAACCCCACCAAAACCCAGAACAGCTCAAAACCAAGCAAAAATCCCTCTTTGTCCTTTGCTGAATTTAGCAAGTCTGCACAGTGGCAGCTGTAATTTCTGTCACCATCATTTGCAACATAGCCCTCTTTTTACAATTATGTAACTGCAATAACTCTGTTTTCAATAGAATACACATTTATTAAACCCTACAGTCAACAGATCACGTGACAATAGCCAAAAGTGCAGAAAACACTTGTCATTTCCATTCTTCAAATCACCTGGAAAAAACACTACTTGTATTAAAAAAAAAGAAATTGTCCTCAAAGAGCTGTGTGTCCATCAACAATCAGGTCAATGTCATCTTAGCACTGAAATACGAAGACCGAATCTACCTCTCTAGATGGATCATAGTCAAAAAGCTGACCCTTTAGGAAAAAAAAAAAAAAGTGTTTTAAACAAGGGAAGAGGAGGGGAGAGGAGGGAAAAAGAGGAGGAAAATAAGGAAAAATGTGAAAAATGAATGGAAAACGCATGTTTCTAGAGGAGCAATTTACTTTTTTTCTTCCCATAAAACTAGGTTTCCTGGATACTCCAGTAAATTATCATAATTCATTGCATGACCAACTACAAATTGGTCTTTCACATTGCAGTTTCTCATATCAATCCCTTCTACGAAGACAGTACAGACAAATGGCTCGGGAGGTAATCCATTCACAGTGGGAAACAAATTATCCTGTAACAGTATCCACAGAGCAAAGCTGTTAAAATATAAATATCTACTGTGCAATACAAGCACTTCAGAAAAATAAGACTCTTGCTGAATCAAGACTTGGGTTATGATCATGTTCCTTAGAAGTACAATTTTGTTATCAGAGTTCAAAAATCTCACTCTAGATCTCCAATGTCTACACTTATGTCAATTGATATCTAACTAGCACCATTAACCTAAATGGCATTACAAGAACATGTTTGCTTATTATTTTGAATAGTACTATGAAGTATTAGGGCTACCAATAGCTTATTTCCAGAAATGTAGCTGCTCAACCAGTCATAAAGCAGAATTTCTTAATACTAACATTTTACAAGATTAAGAGTTGATACAAGACATGATCTTCAGAACAGACTGTCATTTAAAAATAAATCAGTCTTTTTCTTTTGAATAACCTGTGCCTACTGCTCACCTGTTAATCTTTTATTCTAGAACACTGAGCGTAAGAGCTAGTTATTTTGCAAACATAATATCAGTTTTGATGTATAAGTATCACGGTGACTAACAAAACAGAACATCTCTAAATTCTTGTTTTTATGAAAGCTTCAACAAAAGAATTCCTATTTCCCTAACAGCTACAGATGTTAGGGACACCAAATGTTTCTGGTGGAAAAGGAGAGCAAGTTAAGGACAAGACCTTTCCTGTTACAGTAAATGTGTCAGAATAGAGGCCTGTTACCAAATAAAATACTTTTAAGCCTATCCTTCCCCAGAACTCCATAATGACTAATTCCCACTGAACAGAGAAAAAGAGAGAAGGACCATCAGTGCTTAGAAAAAAGCATCAGAATTACATCATTGCCTGTCTGCCAGCCAGGAAAGAAGATTATCTGAATAGTGAACATCTGGATTGTGTATATAAAGGCAACGAAGGATTTTTATACATATTAGTTCACTGACTTCTACTGACTTTTTATCTAACAAAGAAACAGTAGTGTTACGATACGCTTTTATAATGAAAAAGCAACAGGAATTCCAGAGGTCTGGGTTAGTGTATTAAAAGATACACAAACAGATTTATCATTCACTGCTTCCTTACTATACTTAATTGAAAAAATTTGGCAGATGCTTGAACTTATAATTCTTTCTTTTCAAGTTAAATCAATGTAGTTTGATAACACTGGTTTTCTTCTTTCTGTTAAAACTTCAGATACAAAGATTGCAAGTGACACGATTCTGATCACACTGAAGTTCAAAATATATCCAGTACCCCATCCCAGTACCTTAAAGAGTGCTTCCAAACAATCTTATATGTGAAGTGCTTCAATTTCTTAAGAACACAACTCAAACCAAATTTGTATTTTTGCTTTTTTTTCCCAACACAACATAGAATTCTTCTGCAAGCCACAACTCTAATAGTCGTGTATAGACTCAACTAGTCTTTGTTTAGCAACTCTTTAAAGTTGCCATGCAAAAAAATCAACCTTATTCTAGACTGAAGTACTGTGCAAAGAAACATTCTTACCTTGAACTGTTAGAGTTGCTGATGCTTCAGCTTTTCCAACCATATTTTCTGCAACACAAGTATATGATCCCATGTCTCCTGCCATAACTTTCCGGATTTTCAAGGTATGATCGTCACGGATTTCGTATCTTGAAATACATATAGTAATAAATAATCAATAGGAATAAAATAACTTTGTACAATTTCTGTAAAAGGTAAAAATATGGTGGGTTTGCTCTCAGATATTTTTATTTCTATATTTCCCTTAGAAATAAGAATATATATAGACCCTTAAAAACTGATAATGTGAAAATAAAGTTTTAAAAGCAAAATATATCTGAATATTTGAAAACCTTATTCTGATTTCATTTGCAACATGAGTCAGTTTTACTGATGTCAGTAGAATTTCACTGGCATACTACAATCACAAAGCTCTAATGCACAAGGGTTTAATTGTTAGAACTCTTTTAACAAGTAATTGTAATACTAGTTACTATTCTCTCTATAATTTTTCCACCTCAATGAAGATTGGTTTTAATATGGTTGAAAAGAAAATATTGCTCTTAAGAAGGTCAGAATTGCTTGGAAGTCAAGATAAATCACAATTCATTCAATAATTTTTTTTTAAAGAACAATGTGGCCTTTTACCATTTCCTCTCCTTTCACCACCTTTTTTCTTCTCTTTGTATAATGCAGTCAATGTGTTTCTCTTTATGGGAAGTAGATTTTTCTCTTAAAACACTATAGTTTTTATTAAAGTGATAGACTAGATAAATGGGAAGCTGTACTTGGATGGCTGAAGCCAACTGATAAAAGGTTTCTTCTTCCAATCCCCTCCCCTAATAGGTTTTTAACTGATAATTTGGAATTCAAAGCAAATAAATAAATTATCTATCTATCTATCTATCCATCTATCTATCCATCTGTCTATCACAGAATGCCTTTCTTTTTAATATGGTGTTTTACTTTTTGGATTGAATTAGAGCAATGATAGAAAGAAAAAAAAAAGTTAATTGGAAATGTAGTAACAAAAACATCTATAACCAAGGCAGCTTTCTACATTACCAGACTACATTTTATATTGATTGCAATTCCAACATAGACTTCTTGATGTTGTAATCTAATTTACTATTTGTTATACATTTTCTAAAACTTTTAGTAATTACAAAAGACTCTTCAGGTGAAGAATTAATCTGTATCAGATATTACTGACTGAACTTAGTTATTTTTTGTTGTATTTGTCATGTGTTGTCACAACAAAAGTTTTAGAACAAGACATTTTAAAGTTTCGGTATAAATTATAACTTCAAATAGAGTTCAAAGATAATTAGAAATGTCTTATTTGATAAGCTAGGCCTCCTCTATTCAAGAAAAAGAAATGTTAATGGTCAAATGTTGAATGTTTACTTCAAGCTAGATGGCATAAAAAAGGTAACTCCTTGTACTGCACCTTGCTTTTGGTAATTCCCCATCATCTTTCCTCCATCTTACTGTAGGGACTGGGTCACCTCTTGCCTCACACTTAAACTCCGCACTGTCATCCACAGTTACAGCCAAATTACTTGGTCTCTTCACAAAAGACGGTCTCTCTAAAAGGGAAGGAAAGAAAAAAAGGTATTAGTCCAGCTGTTCTGTGTCTGAATTGCAATCTTCCCTAAATTGTGGCTGTTCGAGCAAGGGGATCCGGGTGACAAATCTGAGGGAGGTGCCTCTGCTGCCGCTCCTCCAGCTCCCAGCCCCAGGCAGAAGATCCGCAGCCCTGCAGACAGACAGCACTGTGAACCTCAGCACAGGTGGCAGACACTCTCAACAGTAGCTCAGGATTCAAGCACAGACTTCCTTACTTTTTACGTATCATTGGCACAGCTAGCTTAGCTAAAGGAAGACACAGCCTACACAGAAAATCTAAATACACATTGATCCTTCAGACAGAAGCAGGCCTGCTGCAAGGACCCAGACAAATGACCACTCATCTGCTGTCAAAAAGACAGAAGACACAAATCAAACATTGTCTCATTGGAGGTTTGGACTCGATGGTGCCTCTAAATCTGACGGCTAAGTAAGGCCCAGCACAGCATCTCTATGAAGTTGCTTGCAGGCGTTAGCCGCAGCTAGTGTTCAGTGCTATCCCTTCCAATGCTACATCAGAAAGCCCTTTTCTTTCACTAGCACACATAAAATAAAATAAGTCAAAAAACCCCCACAATGTCCTCTCTATACTTTTTGTTCATTAAAATTGCTGTTATCCCTGACTTACACTGTAGGACATGGATGACCCAAATCCTGGCTCATCAGAGTCAGATTAATTGCTGCATACTTTTTCTCAGGCTTTCTGAAACAAAATGGGATTTCAGTATAGGCTGTGCTACTCTGGCAACCCAGCTACTAGCTGGAAATTTCAGCAGAGGGATTGACACACTTTCTGCCTGAAACAGGGTTCAAAGCTTTATGGTGCTGGACTATTCACAGTTTTGTAATTCCACATCAGGCTGGAGTGCAGTGAGGTTTGCACACACACAAGGAAGAAAGGTGTTTGTAACAACTTCTGGGATACTGCGGGAAGGATTACGCATTTAGAAAGGCAGTACCAGATGACAAGAGGATGTGTATAAAAGAACAGGAGAGTGCTTGGCAGGTTCCTTTGTCTAAGGCAGATGACCTTTTTGCCTGTAAATCTGTGAAAGCTCTGAGGGAGTTGAGAAGGCAGTGGCATGTTTTGACTTGCATGTATCAAAGATATAAATATCATCTCCCTGGAACTGGAAGGGTCTGAAGCCATTGGCACAACCAGTGTCAATACCCAAGAATACACCACAAAGTTCTCCTAGGAGTACAAAAGCACCAGACAGAAGGATAAAGGGACAATCCCATATTCTTAGTGTCTCACATTTGTGTTTGAAAAAGGTGGTTCTGAATATTACTTTGACTTTACAGATAAAGCTATTCAGTATTAAAAAAACCTTAGTGAATGGTTCAAAAAGGACTGAAGTGGAAATGTGAACTGAACAAAGCCTTATAAAAGAGCTTGCTTTATTCTCGAGGATGTCCACACTTTTGTTGTAGAAAACTTACCTTTGCTTGCAATGCTAGGCAAATAATGTTAGATGAAATAGCAAGTTGATCTTTAATCTGTCAGGTCTAGCCTGGGTTCATAAACAAAAAGTGAGAAATAAAACAGAGACCCACAGCCATGAATCTCTGTGAATTACAAAAATACAAATATAGACACTCCCCCCACCCCAGCCCCTTTCTTGTAGGTGCAGTACAAATGCAATCTGAATGCAAGAAAAGAACATTCTGGATTAAATTTCTGAGTAAGAATAGTTTGGGGAAGAATATTCAACTTAGTTATGCAAGAGAAAAAGGACTGATCTGGTAAGACCAGGACTGCTGCACAACAGAAAAACCCACAAGAGGCACATTGTTCTCTAGATCAATTTCCTAAAGGAAGAGTAATGGCCCAAGAGCTTTTGTCTGCCCATTCATAACACTCTTATTCAAAGGCATAAATGGATAAGGGAAATCAGCCCTGATTTAAGTATCTATCTTTGTCACACAATTATTTGGTAAATACAAGGAAAGCTTAGCAAGGATCACTTTGAAACTTTCTAATATTACAGTTTCTGGCATACAATCCTCTCTCTGATCTAAAGCAGAGACTCAAAAGCAAAAGTTCAACTTCTAAATGACCAACACCCATAAACAGAAGATTTATGCTGAAAGCTTTTAATATATGAAGTCACCATCTTTCTCATGCTTTTTCACACATATCTCAGACCCAAGTTGAAAGAATAAGGTGTATTAAAGATTTCTAGACACAGACTGTTAAGACATTCAAAACTTTACTGTATGTTTGAAAAGAAAATGTTACTAGTTTTCCTAGGCTGAAAATCAGAAATACATTTGAAGGGAAAATGAGATGAAGAAAAAGGCAAAGACAGACCTCTCTCTGCAATGCATCCCTCTTACGGGTGTTCAACAACAGGAATATTTTCCAGCCTGGATTATGTAACAGTCCAGAGCATGACTCCCTGGTTAGTAGTAGACTAGCGATGTGCAGTTAACTGGTACAGTTAACTAGGAGCCCAGTGCCAGGACCTTACTCATGTAACTACAGTTTTCTTTTAATTCTAGATTTTACTTGAAGGATCTAAAAGTCTATTTGACAATAAACTTCCCCCCAAAGTGCTTCAAAGGTGTCTATATATTAAAAAAATAAACAACAGAAACAAAACAGAAACCAAACCAAGCCAAAACCAAAACAAAACAGTATAGTGGATCATAGGAAGTCTTCCTTAGTTTCTAAAAAGTTACACACTATTTTGCTGGATATTCAGTTTCAACAACTTTAAGAGAGAATAGAAACTCATTTTACTATGGAAAGGCCTGCTTCAAATGAAACTCTGAACAGGAGTTCAAGTTACCTGAGTCCTAACTCTAAAAAGTAGTGAAGACAGATGACAGTGCCAAAGACTGACAAGACAGATCTTAAATCTGAATTTAAAACAAAACAAAACAAACAAACAAACACAAAACCCCCAAGAGCCAGGACTACTGCAGCACCACTGTGATGGAAACCAGTGTGTTATGAACGATGGGGCTTGGATATTTTCATCCTGTGATGATAAAATATCTATTCCTTCTGCAGAAACAATTAAGCTATCTCAAGCCTCTCCTACTTTAAAGTAACACATGATACATTTTGAATGAAAACTACCAAAGCTGCATCTACAGTGAGCATGAGGCAATCCTCCCATGCTGAAGGAATTTGGAGATTGTACTTGGAGCTACAGCTTCTTTTCTGCAACAGCAACAAAAAACGAAATTTTCAGCTAAGCTCAGTTATCTTAAACGATAACATACTTTTTGGTGCTCAGAGGAACTACCATTAGGATCACTTGAACAAGTAGACCTGTTGCATCTTTACAACACTCAGTACACACAACTATAAATGAAACGATAATTATTTAAAACAGAAATTTAGAATAATTCTGATTTTCTTCAATGAAAGGGAAAAATTAAGCCTCTCCTTCTTAGTGATGTTAATTTTTTTTTTGCTATTATTTTACAATACTAATCTGGTCAGTGGACACTGGAATGATTTTCAGTTCGAGAACTAAGTAAGAAAGTATTTTCTGATAGCAAAACCAGTCCAAGGTGGACTGCAAAGCCAGTAACTGCCACCCATTTGCTACAATACAACCATGACAAAAACATTTTCAACATAAACATTGAACAGGAAATAGATGAGAACGATCCTTAATAAAAGGCTTACTAAGAAAAAGTTGTACATTTCCATTAACACAGTCTTAAAGGAGGAGTTCTTACCTAAGACAGTGAGCTCCGCAACTTCACTTTCACGTTCTCCAACCATATTTGTTCCAACACAAACATATTTTCCAGCATCATTCTTTCTTGTGTATGTGATCATAAGCTTTCCTCCTCTGATCTAGGGCAAATCAAGGATAATAAAAAATATTTAAATACAAATTACTGATTTAATAATATTTATTAATGTGAAAAAGGTTGTGTTACAGATAATGAAACAAAACAGTGATTTTCCAAATCATCCAAAAAAGTGAAAAAAAAAATTACTATTAACCTAATTTCCTTCTCTTATGCAAAAAGCTTTCCTGTTAGTTTTACATCAGGATTTTAAAATCTCTCGGATTTGGATCCCTATTATTCTTTTCTTCCTTCTGTGTAATGTAATACTGGCTATTTGACAGCCTGTTTAATGTTTGTTGGCCAGAAGGACTACAATTCCTATGTACTACTGCAGTTTGATACAATCAGGTGGAGAGTAAAAATCAGGACTAGACATAAATCCCATTTTCACATCAAGTGCTGCTATTACTTCTTGACAAAAAATACGTGTACATTTTTGTACTGTTGGTTATGCTTGTTATTATTCATGAATTTTGTGTTTGTTTTGGTTTTCATTTTTTAAGAAGCAAAGGAAAATTTTTTATTCTTTAGTTCTTCACTTCTAAATAAGTAATTTCAAAGGTCGATAAGCATCAGGGCAGAAGCAATTAAATCCTTACTGGGAAATGAAGAGCATTCTGCTCTTAATTCTGAATTCAGTTTTTGGAAGATAATGGAGTTTCAATAACCCCAAAATTAGAAAACATACTTCTCCTTTGTGATTCCAAAACTTATTTTTTACATAAAATATATATTATATAAAATATGAAATAACTTATTTCCATTTAGTAGTATTTATTCTCTCACTTGATTGAAACTTGTGCAACCATTTTGCCAAGGTTCACCAAAATACAGCAAAGTAAAAAAAAACACATACCATTTTTACTTTAATATACAAAAACATTACTTAATTACATTAATTATATTTTTAAGTGAGCATATGCTTATGAGTCCAATCACATGAAAACCACTGCAGGTCAAGGGACAGGTGGAAGTACATAATAAATAAAAGCCACATATGAAGCTACATGAAAGGGTCTAATGTGGTCAGTGACAAGGAGAAGAGTGTTCTCAATATGAGGTATTTTGCTCAAGTTGCCTGCAGCTAGAAATCTATCCCTGAAAATCTGACATCTTGAGCAGCGTTGGGCTCTTATTATCATTGTAAGATGTACGCACACAAAGATGACAGTCAGTTATTGAGATAAATGAACATCCATGTGTAACGTAAATAGCACTGCATACAAATTTATTTCCGTTGCCTTTGGCACTTGTTGTTCAAAAACAGAAAAGATATGTCCTTTATCATCCAGCAATCTACTAATGCTGAAATTTCAATGGGGATTTGAGGCATGAAGAATAAAAAAAATAAAGCTGACCTGCAAATACACATTTTTCAAGGATTTGTGTGCATTTTTAGATTTATGACCGTCTGAACTGGTATGCATGAGAACCAAACGTAAAATATAACTAGAAGTCTATCTGTATTTATTCCTGTTTTACATACCCCTAAATCAAAAAAAGGTATTTATTTCCAATTAATCTATGCAAGGATTTTTAAAAAACCCCCACAATTTTAGAAAGATTTCCACATGTATTTGGGGTATTTGTATATCCAGATACATAGGCAGAAATACATACTTTTCATGTATAACAGTAGTGAATGCACTGGATTTAACAAAGAAAGGTATTTACATATCACAAGAATTTAGCAACTCAGCTGATGATTTCAAATCCATGTAAACTGAAAGCAGTAATGTTCACACGTGTCTTAAGAGCTTAAGTTCTACGGATGGTTCAGTAGCATTTGTGCTCCTCTGTGATTTTAGCACTTAAGAAAATCCCATTCAAATCCATTACAATATGACACAACCGTATATTTTGCACAAATGTAAAATCCAGCAAGAAGTATCCTAAGAATTTCTTCTAGGAATCACCACAAGACTCTCTTCAAAGCATAGATGGAGAGAAGCATTAAAGCAGAAACATTTTAACAACTAAAAACATCACTGAAAGCTGCTTTTCTTCTAAGTTATTTGAGATTTACATAAGGAAGGAGAGGCAGAGGAAACAGTTCCTCACGGACATTGAGGCAGACTTCCAAAGACGTGACATGCCTACTGAAGGAAGCTGTGCTTCCAAGATGGAATTCTGAATGCATTTTGTTTATTTTTCCTAGGGGTTTTCCTTTGTTGATCTTGTTTGTTTGTTTCCATAAAACAAAAGAAGGGTTTAGAACTTTAGCTACAATGATGGCTATGCCACATTAAATTGTGATGAATTACGCAGTTACAACAAAATGCACCACAAGTACATGTGGAATTACATGTCTGTAACTAGAGCATTCACAGATGGCTAGAAGAAAGCGTACTTCTGCTGTTGGGTCACTACCAGTGTTTTCCATTAAATTTTAAGAATTAGGTATCCACCATCTCAGCAGGATTGATCAGGCCCTTCTATTTATTAACAAGACATTGCAAATCAAATCTGTAGTTATGACAAATTTATGTTCTCTATGTGCAGTGTTTGTCACTTTTTCTCTGAATAGGCAATCCTACAAATACCTCTAGACTGTAGACCAATGGCTTTAAGTAACAAAGTGCACAATAAAGTAAATCCATGTGAATTTTTGTAGGGACACAGAAAGAATCACTGCTACATTTCTTTGTCTTACTAACTTACACATCCACTGCTGTAAGTTCATATCCAGTATTCAGAGCAGTAAAGAGCCAAATCACCTTTGGGGGCTGTATCTGAAATCCTGCAGATTAGAACTATTCATAGGCTGTGGATACTTAATCAAGGCGTTTCAATTTGAGTGCTTTGGCTCTTCTCATATTTGTGCCCCTGCCCCAGAATACACCAGCTGGACTTTATATAGCAAATGATAAAAGGGTTTGAAAAAGTGACAGGCAGTGTAACATTTCATCCCAAACTTCCAGAAGAACCGTTACCACATTGAATACAAAGAGAAGTCCTTTCTTCCTAGCAAACAAGATACAGCAAACAGTTTTATTACACTACTCTGGTAGATACCACATATTATGGGAAAAGAATTGCTTTGCTAACTGCCAAAGCTTTAAGTTCAATTTCGAAAAAAAGATGGAAGCAAGTATCATGTTTCATTTATACAGAAATGATGCCAAGGCACTTTTTGACTTTTCACGCCTCTTCGGGATTTTGTTCTGTTCTGTCCCCACCAGCAAATTTATCAGGGCTGTGCAAGCAGAAAATACAAGAATAGCACTGAATACTGATGAGAGAAAGAGACTGTAATCAGAGGTTCACACATGATCTTCAGTTGCCTGTAACACATATGGATTGCTGTATGTATGTTAAGAGAATATATGGTGACATGGTGACATACAAAGACTTATTGAAAGCTATTTTTTAGTGACCTGCCCGCCTGACCATATTTTGCTCCTCATGAGTAAATTGTTCATTCAAGCAAGTCCACTCCATTTATTTCTTTAAAAAATAGTTGGAGATGATCATACAGAAAACTCTAGGCACCCACAGAGTTAACTAGGTCCAGAATTGTAAATTGTGGCCACCCAGCAGCAAAAAATCATATACAAATAATGAATCAACTCGCTCAGCCAATAAATCAAATCCATAAAAACTTACCCAAGGGTTCTACAACACACCACCAAGTATTCAGTATAGCTGTACACAGATATATATGCTTATTCTAAGACCATATTTTATATACCTATGTGTGTTGTGTGTGCATGTGTAAATTTCTGTATGTATAAGTTCACACCCATCTGTCTGTGTTAAGAAATACTTTTATATATGTGGGTGATTCATTTACTTTTCAGAGAAATGTGCTATGAAATATGAGAAAGAATGAAGCCATGAGAGAAATGCATGGGAAGTTCAAATATAAAGGCGACCAACATTTTTTTTTAACTTTCTTTTAGCTCATAGTTTCATTCTATGTAGTAAATGAAATCTGCTCTGTTGCAAAATAATTCTAAAGCAAACTTAAATCCATAAGAAAATGAAATTTAGATTGTAGAGTGGAATACTGACCTCTGTTTGTATAGCCAGGGTTTTTACATATGTAATATTACAAATTTTGCATATTTCAGTTTTCTACAGTACAGCATACATAATATCACATTTTATTTAAATTAAATGCGATGGTTTTGTGATACCAAATTGTCAGACATGGTCTTTACTTTAAAAACATACCATCTAATTATAAATGACAATAAAGAAGTTAAAGAACAAGGTGAGTACAGGCAATTGTAATTAGTAGTGTCACCAGTGGTAGATACAAGTAAAATTGAGCTTTTATTTCCTAGTTAGGAGGCACAGAGTTTGCTCATTACCCTCTGTGTGGTTTAGCATCCCAAAACACCCAAAACAGATTAGTATATCACTGCAGCATAGACTGTAAGGAATGGAATGTCAGCAATAGAAGAAAACTTTGCAGTTTTAACAAAGTTGAGTATAAAAGAGTATAAATGAATACCTATCTTAAATTTTTATTTAAAAATTTGTATCTTGTTCCAAGCCTTGTGAATCCCGTGTATCCTACCTTACCTATTATAGCATGTTTAAATATCAGACACTAGACATCAAAATGTGCTTGGAATAGGTCTTAAAAATGATTAAAGTTTTTTCTCATTTAACTTCAAAGTTCAGACAGAGGAGTCTGTCATGCTTTCGGTTCCATTCTCTGGGACCCCAGGAAGGTACGTGCTGCCTCCTCCAGATCAAACAGACAAAAAATTCTATCTGAAAGAAGTTTAAAACATACTTTCAAGTGGTCTTCCTGTGCTGTAAATCTCTCATGACAAAGTGCAACTCAATTGTTCCCCCCTACCATACAGACCAACAAAACAGTCTTGCAATGATGATAGTCCTGAAGGTAGAGTCTATAAAGGATGGTGCAAAATGCATAGGAAGACAGCTTTACTTAAAAAGAACGAGCATTTAAGGTAGATAAAATGACATTAGATTCAAGCTGCTGCTTCTGGCACCCCTGTCAATGTGGCCAGGATACATTAGAGTCAGAATTGTATTCAAGTCCGCTCATGAGAATGCCTTCCTCTCTTTTATGGCCTCATTATTAATGACTGCATCTACAAGAAGATGGATATCTACAAAGGCTTAAGGGTTATCTGTGTCCCGAATTGTCTGGTGACTTCAGAGGCAGCTGAGCCTCTGGCATTACCACAAGACACCAAATATCAAAATTACCATATGTGTTTGATACTTTACCCAACTAACAAGAACGTGGAAACAGCCAAGATACATGCAGAATGTCATAAATCAACTTCAGAAAAGAAAAATCCATACCTCAGTATCTACAGTTTTCAGAAGTTTAAAACTGTAACAATGCCAAACTCACTTTCTACAAACATTTGGTTTTTGTTAATCACAAAGGAAGATTTAATTCAAAATAGGCCGTATTGGCTCACATTAATCAGAACTAATTTCTGAGCAGACAGCTATGTTTATATAAAAATATTTGAACCAGTAAAATACTTTCCTGAAACATTTTCATGGCTACAGTACAAAATATTTACTATGTAATACTTCCTTTCTTATTATAAACCAAGATTAAAACAAAAGCTTTAAATCTGCTCTACCAAGATCTCAAAAAAAAAAAAAAAAAAAAGAAAGAAGCAACAAACATTTGCCTCAGAAACTTTTTCACAATGCTATTTACTGAGCACAGAAAACAGACAAAACTTAACTAATGGGCAACACATAAGCACATCCTATGGGTCAGCAAAAATATGTGGAACTAACCAGTCTTTCTGCAACACCCAATGAAAGTCCAAATGAGCCCAACAAGGGAATAACAAGTTTCTAATGACAACTACAATATTCCTCTAAAACTGTAAATTTAAATTCATGCATGAATCTCCCCTGGATGCACTGGTTCACATGTAGCTTTCACTGCAATCAGTGATTGAAATCAGTAAAAAAAAGTGAACTTGAGCTGAACTTGGTGTCTGGTATGTATTCACTTCTCTCCCCTTAAGCAAGTCAGATGATTTTAAGTATCTGTTACCCAGGAATTTTCTTTTAAGCATCACCACCACTGTGTTACTTACACACCTCCAATGATAAAACCCCAGACCAGCTGGGGTTAATTTGACACACAAAATCTCTCAGTTTTTACTTAAGTTACCTAAAGTATCACAAATACAATATGGAAAAGTAAACCTTACAAACCACAAATTTTAAAACATGTAACAAACTCCTACCTGGTAACCATAAAGGAAACAACATAGCCCAAATCTACAGAGGAATTTAGCTGCTTGTTTCCCCCTGAGAATACCTACACTGCAAAAGACAGACGCGAGGCCACTTTGTGGGGCTGTGTCAAAAAGTCACCAGGAATGAAGCCAAGGGCAGGTTCAGGCCAGCTCTCCAGGGACCTGAAGGGCCCAGTCACACAACCAGACTGGACTCTGCAGTGACTTTGCATGCTGCAGAATATGCCTGAAC